ATATATATATATATATATATATATATATATATGAGTGTGTGTGTGTGTGTTTAATTTTAATCGCTTATTTTGGTTTTTTTAATCAGATAATTTGTGGAATTTTTATCAGAGATTTTGTGATTTTTAAAGAGAGAAAACCAGGATACTGGCTGTTCAGGTAACTAAGGGAGTCAGTTGACTTAATGACTCATTGTTTGTTACTCTACAGGTGTTAACAATTATCCCCCTTTTTTAATGATCTTGATGTTCCACTAATTAAGCTAACCTTTCTTAGACCAGTTTTACTATGTGCTAGTTGTTTCTGGTCTATTTCACAGCTCTTTTAGCTTTTTAGCAGAGACACTTTATCTCTTTTCAAAATGATAGATCCACCCATGGAGACCAGTATTAAAGAACAGTTAGGAATTCAGCTTTAGTTAAAGAGGAAAGGAAGGGTGAGTCAGCTGATGATTAGGCTCTATCCCTCCTCTATGCAACCATAACTCTGAAGAAAAAAAAAATCTTCATTTTGCTTTTCAAAAACAACATGCGTATTATACTCCAGGGCATGTTGTAAGCTAGGAAACATGGCATTTTAGAGATATTCGAAATGTATAAACTTACAGTTCTCCCTTTCCTGCAAGTCCTGTATAGACTTACTGGATTTCCTCCTTTCCTATTAAATTATGCTTCACCCAGGAGCTCAGTTCAGGGTATGACGAAAAAGGTCTATAAGCCACTTTGGGGCCTGCTGTGTTCTGACCCTTAAGGCTGCTCTAACTTATGTCTGCCCGCAATAGTCACGTCCTAGGAGCAGTTCCAGAGCCAACAATCGTTGGCACACTGCATCACTCTCCCTAGGCAATCTTTCCCCTCTGATCATGTTCTCAGCATGCAGGTTTTGAGGTGACCTGCTGCAGTCATTCTCCTGGCTCTGCACTGTACCGGGAATCCATTTAAACAGCAGATATTACCTGAATATAATGATTGGTACCATTTATATTGCTAAAGTAACTACAATAAAACTTGGCACATGGTAACTACAGAATGTGTCTTCAAAGATGAAAGGATAACTCCCCTCTAAATCCAATATTTTATTTGTGAAATCTTCAGTATTTATGTAATTTATGTTGGTATAGAAGCACATAACAATTTTATTGGCAGTAGCTTATGATGACCCCAATCCCTAATTTACACATCCTCAACTTGTAAAAAATGCAAAAAATTAATATTGATAAATGTTTTGCCCTTCCTCCACTCATATATTACACACACACACCCTCTCTTAAATTGAAATTCCAGCTCTAGTTCTCTTCAGAAACTCTGTGATATTTATTACTTGAAATTATGTACCATATAATTTAGACTTAACTCTTTTATTAGTGGTTTTCATTGTAGATATTTAATATCCCGCATTTGAATTGCTTTGATTGTTGACATAGGTCACATGGTTTGCTTCTTTTTTCTGGTTGGATGAGCATAACGCTAGAAACAGGTTGGCAGTGTCAATTATTGTGATTATGAATTTTGAATTTATTTTCTGCCAATAGTCTCCATCAGTCATTTACATCTCACTGTTCCTATGAATATTTCTGGCAATAAATTCACTCTATAGCTTTTTTCATGAAAAACAAACACAAACAGCATGTAAACATAGAAAAAGCAAATTTAGAAAGCAAAAAAATATTCCCAGAGATATTTTTTTGCCACAGCTGTCCAATGCCAAAACAAAAACATGTGCAAAATACCAGAACAGAACTGCATCACAGTCAGCTGGGGACTTGACACTACGTATCAAATGTAAATGTACCACTGTAATTTAAAAACCTTTCCTTACCATCTGCCTTGCTTCCCTCTTCCATCAAGAGCTTTGTAATATTAAGAAACCCTTTGGCAGAAGCTAAATGGAGTGGCCTGTCTCCAACTTCCCCAGTTGCATTCACATCGGCACCAAACTTCAGCAAGAGGCGTGTTACCTAAATATTTCATATATGTGAATTAGAAAATCCAATTTAAAAAACGTTTAAATGAAACCCAGAAGGATACTGTCTATTGTCTTTCTTAACACCTTGGAAGGGAAGCTGTGTTTTTTTATTTAAAACCAGACTATGTATACTTAAATAGTGTATAGTCATGAGAAACATTATAACATCCATTTGTAAGTTGCATGTCTATAAAATATTGCATTGCACAGTAGCAGGTTTCAGTTCATTTTCTAAGATGACATGGCTAGCAAGGGATAGGGAACAAGACACACTTATTTGTTTATCTGACCTAGTCAGCATAATAAAGTAAATGTTCTTAAAGTCCATAAATTAGATATGTCACAGACTTAGTTTCCTTTCTGAAGGTAGAGTCCCTTATCACAAAAGCACCATATGCATTTTAGCATAATTTCAGAAGACTGTGACTATTTGTTCAAAAGTGGTTCATAGCAAATAAGCAAACTAATCTCTCAGCCCAATATGTAAAGAGTGTCTTAACATTACTGCAAGATGAGGTGAACATATGAAAAAGAAAGATCTCAGGAATGAATGCACTGTGCACATCCTTACTGCTACTGAACCATAGAAGTAAAGCGTTTTCAATCATCTGTGCTTTTGGACTCTGTCCTTTCAAAGGCTTTTTCCGGGAATGACTCTCCAGTGCACTCTAAATAACACATCAATAAAATGAGAAATATACTCTACCTGCAGGTCATGCTTTGAAACCAAAAATGTCCCAGCATATGCTTCTTTCCAGAAAAAGAAAGGCATGGGGATGAATTCACACAAGGCAAAAGAGATACAAGGCCACTTCTAAGCTTTAGGGTTTGCCACAGTGCAAATGTATATATTTCCCTCCAAGCTACACACCCACACTACAAAAACAACTGGAAATGAGATTACAAGGGTTTTATTTTAACTCATGTAGTGATTTTTTTAACTTCATTACCTTTGTGAATCAGGCAGGCAGGATTGTTGCATCTATCACATACTGGGTAAAACCATGGCTTCACTGAAGCTAATAGGAGTTTTCCTACTAATTTCATTCATCAATTCCAAAATCAATCAGTTATTTTGTTATGGTAGAACATGTATACTCCTTTCCTTAGAAATATTTAAGCTGGTATACCTAAAGGTTAAGTGGGAGATCCATGGGACAGAATGGGTAATATGTGTCATATGAAATATATCCCCAGGTTAAAAACCTTTTATAGTTTTGAGTAAAACTCTCTGTGATGAATAACAATTAATTTCAAGAGGTCTTTTGTGGGGTATTAACTTTGGCTGGAGGTTCTCACAGTCAGTACTTAAAACATGAATAGTAAAATTCTTATGGGCTTTCAAACTGCTGAAAATGCCAGAGATTATTCAAAGGCATAACTTAAGTATGTGAAGCCCACGGAATGCTATTTTATAGTGAAACCCTTTTGAATGTGGCAGACAAGTGACAATAGACCTACATATGGCTCATTGTGTGGCTGCACTGGCTCAGTTTTTTCAAATTCTGCCCATTTAGATACCTGCTCATGTCCATAGTATGCTGCAATGTGTAATGGGGTGAAGAAAACCGCATCTTGAACATTAACAAAAGCTCCATGCTGCAAGAGAATATCAACAGCCTGGAAGAAAAAGAAAGAAAAGATTCCGATTAGAAGTTCTGGATGTTGTTACCTTATAAAATAAAATTTTGTAACATTACAGCTAGAAAAAACAAGCCATAAAGGTCGAGAACTGCAAACAACTGATAAAAGTGATTAACTTACAGTACTTTAACTGAACACTGAATGTCACTAATGCCCTATAAATAAGCCTGGAAACACATTTGCCAGTAAAAAACCGGATTTGAGAGGCAAAGAAATGACTGACTGGAGTATTTCAGAACAGCCTTTAATTTTCTTTTAAGTTTTATGAACAAACAGCAATAAACACATCACAGTTTTTACAGTAAATAAAACAAAAATGAAAGACCCCATTTAATTTAAATGCACACAGGTAAATCCACAAGTGCAATTCCCCCTGGGTGTAAAGCTTTTTTGTATTTTAGCAGACAATAGCCCTGGGACTTCAATAACTAACCCAAAGTGTTCTCTTTCAAATTTCCACTTTCCTAGTTATTCAGAAGGCCAATGCTTTAGTTGAACAGCTATCAATTATGAAACATTGACCATCTGAATAACTGTCAAAATGGAAGTTTGAATGAAACCACTTTGGATAATTTATTGAAGCTTAAGCACTGCTATTTTGTCAAAGTACAATGGAAGTCTTTATACCTAGCAAGGGGTTTGTGCCACAGCTTACTTCTGTAATTCCGCATACCACTTTCAGGATTACTCTTGTTTTTTGTATGCAGAAGATGTATTGATCATGAAAGGTGGTGGACTGCAAATTATCCATGACATGGGAAGCAGCAGGTTAAACATCCTCATGTCCATCCTGCTTTCTATGGTTACCTGAAGGGAGCTCCACCCTGAGCGAGCGTGATTTTAGTGGCTATTTCACTTCTTCACCTCCAAATTGAAATTGCCAATGCTGCTCTAATTAGTGCGAGCTGGGATGAATGTTTTGTGATGGGCATTTGTGGGAACCAGTAACGGAACTGGGATCACCAGCTCATTTTACTTCCGCAACAAAGAGGCCTGTCATTTGAATCAGTGTCATTCATGAGTCTGAAGGAACTAAGGCCTGTTACATTAGTGTTTGGGGATTACTTCTTTAGATAATTTAAATTGAAAAATATTTGTCAGTGTGATTCATTGAGTAGTTTTTCTTCAAGCTGCCTTGCATAATACTTTTCCCCTTACTTTTAATTCTTCCTTTCTAAGATTGACAGTAGGCCTCCCCCAGGGCCAGTGTTCAAGGGACCAAACTTTCCAAGTCCCAAACCTATTCGAATCTCATCAACTTTGATCGGATATGAAAGTGTTAAGTACCTCATAGGACTGCACCCAACCACTGCAAGGACCAGATGGTCCTGAACAGAAGAAAATCTGAATCTACAAGTCTCAGAAGGGGAGGCATGACAAACAAGGTGGGGAGGGAACACTGGAAGTGCTGACCTTGTTTTTTTCACATTTTATTACACATGCTGTGAAAATCAGGCCAAGGGAACATTGGGAATAGCTAGCAATACTTCTGTAGGTAAGACAGTTCTTCTGCCATAAACTCAAGGAGGCAAAGAGACAGATTGGTGACAGATAACAATGCAGAGGCAACTGTTCCCTTTACTGCCTCTGGCAGATCCTCTGAGATCCTCATAGAACTGGCTGGATTCATTCCTTTATGGTCTAAATCCACTGGCTTCAATGGAACTTTATCTCTTCATCTCAGTTCAAGATCAACTTAGTGCTTAAGTTAAGTATATGGTTCTGATACTTTATCTATGTATCAAACAAAGACGAGATATAAAAGACAAGAAATACCACTTGTTTTTTAAATTGTTGGCGTCATGTACAAAAGGATGGTGGAACACAATAGGGAGATTCAGAACGATTAGGTGAGAAGTTAATTCATGTAGTGTAAAGGCCGATGTACTCTTTGGCTTAATGGCCTGTTTGTTTTTAAATGACTCATTTTCAACTAGACATGTATACACAAAGTCCTATTAGAAAATAAAGCTGTAGCAGTGAAGAAAAGAGATACGCCTGTCCTGTTCACAGCTTCCACACAAGAGAAGTGTGAAAGTTATTTGTATCGGTTTCATTTTAATTTAGATTTGCAAATGCTAGCTTATGTTTTCAGAAGAAACCGCAGATAATAGAAAAGGCACAAAAACAGAGCTCTGATTACCTCCACACTTCATGGGGGTCTGAATCTAACTTCAGCTCCGGTACAGAATTTTGATAAAATCTCTATCTCTGCGATTAACTTGTTGGGTTTCAAACTCCAGAGCTTTCACTCTACCTCTATCAGTAACTGGAATAGTGGATGAATTTAGAAATATTTTCCAGGAGGTAGAAATAGCATCAGTGCCATCTGTCAGAGGCATAGCAGGAAGATGCTCAGGGCAGCAAGGGCTGCTGCCATACTAATTGCAACAGCACTATCAGGTGGCAGTTATTTTTGTGTCCCCCAGTAAAGGTGGCCTGGAGCTGCTGCCCTGGTTATCTCCCTCCCCCATGCCCCCTCCCCTCCCCAGTTATGCTACTGCCACCTGTTTTGTGCTCTACTGCTAAAAAAAATGTGGGAGTTATGTGACATTATCTCCATTAAACTAATAAATGAGAAAGGGCAGTGGGGATGGGGATCAACGGTATTGTTGAATTTACAGACAACAATCTTTTTAAGCAAGCAGAAAAACACAGAAAGTTTTTAATCACTCATAGGAGATGTAAGCAGTAGGGTTTTCTGGAGTGATCTATAAGGATAAGCTTCCAATTCAAAAAGAGCTTTAGATGGGAAGACAGTTTTAAAACCTCGTACAAAGAGTAGAGAGAAGCCTTTCTTTAGGAAGCAAGGCACCATCAATGAAGGTGTGCACCTCACACTGCAGGAAGTTTTCCTGCAGAGTTCATGCAGACACCAGTTCCCACACATTTCCTTTGACATTGTGCTGGTCAGTTGCTATGAAAAGCAAACCTTAGGTATTTTGCATGCCCAGCATCACAGGGCAGATGTAAAACCCTGAGCCTCAACCTCTTAATGTCTCAGTTTTACCATCTATTAACAAGGGGAAACAATGATGCTTACCCACTATTATGAAGAACTTTGAAACTGCTGCATTAAGAGCATTATGTAAGGAATAACCAATGATTTATAATTAACCAAAATTGCACAAGCATATCATTCCCACAAGAATTTGTCTCTATCTGAACCACATCAAGAATTAGGCCCTTTTTAATTTTAGATTTGAGCCAGGAGAAAAAACCTAAATATTAAGATCTACGTCTTTGCAGCCTCCTATTAAATCAAAGTCAGATTTGAGATTCCAGTTTTACCTCCATTTCTAGTTTAAATCTATCTAGCTCATAGCAACATCTTTCTTTTCATCATATATTTACTTACCATCCTCCATGTCTTCTTCTGTGTTGTTGTGTCCATCTGCCATCGCTACATTCCCATTGATGACAGGATTTTGGGTAATTCTTGGTGGATCAT